TATTTCACATATAATTACATACATGACAAGATATATGAGAATACAAGTAATAAACATAACAAAATGATAAAGTAGAGCCCCCCTTACCTCAAAACAGAGCTTTTACAAGAATTTAACCGAAGGTTTAACTCTAGAACGGAGGTTTTCCTAAGAACATCATGAACATCTATAAGAAGAAGAAGAAGAAGAAGAGAAACGAACGGTAAATCTAACTTCAAACTTAGAAAAACTTACTTGTAATCCTTTAGATCGAACGTAGAATCACAGATTTGAAGAAAAATCTAAGTTTAGGAGGTTTATTATGGGAGAAAATGGCGAGATATGACCTTAGAACCTTTGAGAACCTTGAATAGGAGTGAAGAAATGAAAATTTCGTCCGCAACCCCCTTTTTATAGAAAATTTTTGAAGTTACTGTTCACCGCCGGAAACATTGTTCATCGCCTTACTGTTCAAGCCGGAAACACTGTTCGCGGTAACTGTTCACGCCGGAAATACTGTGCACACGTACTGTACACGGATTGTACGCATACTGTATGCGGATGTGACGTCAGCCATGACGTCATGCTGATGTCATTGATGACGTCATCGTCACTGTACAAAGGCGGTTTCACTGTTCATAGGCGGTTTTACTGTTCACTTTTTTTTTAAAATTTTTTTTTATTATAAATTCTATTCAAATCTATTCCAATTATACTTTAACAAATCTCATTTTATTTAAATCAAAATATAGGATGTTACAGCCACCATATCCTTCCTAGAAACTAATAAAGAGTCAATCGCCTTTACAGTAGAAGTACCAGCCAAATAATGTGGAATAGTTGGTGGTGGTTTGCCATAAGTGACTTCAAAAGGAGTAACCCCTGTTGCAGAACGAACTGAGGTATTGTAAGACCACTCAGCTAGGGATAGGTATTTACCCCACTCACTTGAAGCAAGGTGCACAAAAGATCATAAATACTGCTCCAAAACCCTGTTTAAGACTTCCCTCTGACCATCAGTTTCAGGGTGAAAAGAAGTGCTCATCCTAAGCTTTGTTCCACAACTTTTGAATAATTCACGCCAAAACTTACTGATAAATATGGGATCCCTATTAGATTCCAAACTACGAGGGAAACCATGGTGTTTGCAAACCAAGTCCATGAACAAATGAGCAACCTTATAAGCAGAAAAATTAGAAGGCAATATACCAAATTGAGCACCTTTGGAAAAATGGTCAACTACCACCAAAATAACAGTTTCTATGGAATAATGGTAAGCCAGTGATGGAATTGAGAGACGAATCCACCCAAGGTTCGATAGGGACTGATAAAGGTTGTAATAATCCAATAGGCTTCTTAGTCTCATACTTAGTTTGTAAACAAACTGAACACTGAGATACCAAACGTTGAACATTCGAGCGCATCCGTTCCCAGAAAAAATTCTCCTGTAACCGTGCCAGAGTTTTGGAAACTCTCATATGACCACTGAGGGGAGTAACATGATACTCTTCTAATAACAATGAAATGAAAGGATTGTCAAAATTGACCCAAATTTTTCTTTTGAACAACAACAATTGATTGTGAATTGTAAAATTAGCATGATCCTCAGGATGTGCCTTCACAGATTGAAACAGGTTCTGAAAGGCTTGACTTGCATGCAAAGCCTTCTATAGTTACTCCAAGAAAACAAAACGAGGCATTGTTAACACAAACAGTTGGCTCTTCTCATCCTCAAGACACCTAGATAACGCGTCAGCCACAATAGTGAAACTTTCACTCTTGTATTGAATGGTATAGTCAAATCTCAACAACTTAGATAAGTAAACTTGTTGTTCAGGTGTTTGAATCACTTGAGACATCAATTCTTTTAAACTTCGGTGGTAAGTAAGAATAATAAAAGAATGTCCTAAGAGATATTGTCTCCATTTTTTCACAGCAGCAGTAATCGCATGTAACTCCCGAACATATGTAGAAGAATTAAGTAATTTAGGACATAAGAACTTACTGTAAAAAGCAATTGGGTGTCCCTTTTGCATCAACACCGCTCCCATTGCAGTACTAGAAGCGTCAATTTTCAGAATGAAGGGTAAAGAGAAATTAGGCATAGCCACTACAAAAGCTTTAGTCATGGCACGTTTGAGCCTATCAAAAGCTAATTGGGCATCAGGAGACCAAGAGAAACACCCTTTGCGCAATAACGCTGTCAGAGGGGAAGCTATAGTAGCGTAACCTTTGATAAACCAACGATAGAAACTAGTTAATCCCAAAAAAAACCTCGCAAATCTCGTACTGTAAAAGGGATTGGCCAATCCACCATAGCCTGTATTTTAGTTTGATCAGGAGCAATTCTATTTTTTGATACTATGTGCCCTAAATATTTCAATTAGCGCTGAGTAAAGAGACATTTAGAACCTTGTAAATGAAATTGACCATCCACTAATTTGTAGAAAATCTACTCCAAATGCACCAAATGAGCGTCCAATGATTTGTTATAAATCAATATATCGTCAAAGAAAACGATAACAAAATGGCAAAGATACGGTTGTAATAAGGAGTTCACGGTGGCTTGAAAGGTGGATGGTGCGTTACAAAGCCCAAAGGGCATGACCTTATACTCAAAGTGACCCTGATGAGTACGAAATGCTGATGAGTACAAAATGATGGTATCCCTGTCACAGATCTAACTTTAAAAACCAAGAAGAGCCACCTAACTCATCTAACAACTCGTCGATGGTAGGAATAAGAAAACGATCTTTGATGGTAATGGAATTTAGCGCCCTAAAATCAACGTAAAAATGCCAATTACCATCTTTTTTTTTTCACCAATAGAACGGGCGAGGAGAACGGACTTCAGCTAGGTTGGATTTTGCCCACTTTCAACATTGCTTCAACCTTACGCTCAATTTCAGTCTTTTGGAACTGCGCGTAGCGGTAAGGACGAACATTCACCGGTGAAGAATTAAGGAGCAAGTGAATCGATGATCAGTGGCTCTAGATAGTGGTAAAGAGGACGGAGGGAGAAACAAGGTACGATACTGCTGCAACAGCGAAGATACTCTACGACAAGAGTGGGCCGGTGGGTCATCCTTATGTGGTGGATCCGGGTTTGATTGTGGGTAAATCTGAAGGTGGAAAAAAGACATTGCCCCATTAGTCTGAATGATACGTTTTAATTGTTAGGCAGTAATATCAGTAGGCCCAGTTGGAGCATTGGCCTTTAGATCCACAAATTTACCATCAACAACAAACTTTATGGTAAGTTTAGCAAAATCAATAACAATTGGGCCCAAACCCTTTAACCATTGAATGCCCAAAACTACATCCGTACCACTGATGGGCAGCACATAAAGGTCCACATGAAACTCCTGGCCCTGAATAGCGATACGCACCCTTGCACACAAAGAATGATATTTGATTTCGCTCCCATTACCCACCATTACCTTTAGAGATTGTGTGGGTTGAGCCTAGAGATTCAAGAACTTAGCAACCCTGTCCTGGATGAAATTATGAGTGCTCCCTCCATCAATGAGTATAGTGACGGTGTGATTAGAAATCTGGCCTTTCATGCGCAAAGCCTCTAGAGCAGGTAATCCAGCTAACGCATTAAAACTGATTTGGGCCTCAGAGCAATTTTGGGCTGGGTCATCAGAAGGAGCTAGCTCCAGTTCTAGAAAATATTCTTCTAAACCAATGTCATCATGGTTGGTTTCAGCCATCAACAGAAAGAAGCGTGCCTTGCATTTGTGACTCAGATGAAATTTCTCATCGCAGTTATAACACAAGCCTTTTTCATGATGTGCGAGCATCTCCTCGTGTGTCAATTTCTTGTAAGTAGTACGTGGGAGACCCGTCAAGAGCAGAACAGAGGGTTTAATCAGTATGGGTAAAAGGGCACCGTCACCGTTGAAGAAGGATGAGTTTGACGGGTACAGAAATAACGATGATGATCCGCAATCTTATCCTCATGTAACTTAGCTAACGTTGCCGCCTGGGTAACATCTTTTGGTTGCATCGCCAGGACCTCACGACTGATGTCCGGGGTGAGACCAGAAGCAAAACAACTTAATAAAAATGGAGCAGAGAGGCCAAATACACGATTAGCAAGACGTTCAAACTCATGGAGATAGTCCTGAATCGTACCTTTCTACTGAAGTTTGAAAAGAGCACCGTGAGGATCTTCATAGTACGAAGGAGCAAAACGCGTTTCCAAAGCTTGGAGAAAACTATACCAAGAAGTAATCAAACCATTATGATGCATCCATTGGTACCAACTAAGAGCTGGGGCCTCAATGTAAAAAGAAACAACCTTAAGTTGATCTTCCTCCGGTGTGTCGTGAAAGTAAAAAAACTGAGATATTTTGAAGATCCAACCAATGGCATCCTGACCGTCAAAACGGGGGACCTCAAGTTTCTTGTGAGGGTGGGAGCTCGAAGCAGAACCAAAATGTGGAGGTTTACGATCCAGGGATAGGTCATCGTGAATTGAAGATTTGGCCAGATGTGTGAGAATGGCCTCCATTTTTTGATTAAGAAATTCATTGTTGGCAGAAAGTTTGAGTACCTCATCTTCTAGGTGATCAGATCGACTTTTAGAAGGGTCAGTCATAAACAGTGCTCGATGAATTTTAGGAAGAGAAAAGACAAAACTTTTTCATACATTCTTTTCATTCGTCATTTTAGAATATATAACAGAAATTAATCACATCAATTCAAATCTATCACATAATCAAGTGCCAAATATTCTTTCTAAAAGAACCTATAGAATAAGGTCATACTACCTTTTAGACTCTCTCCATAACTAATCTAATTTATCCCACAATTAACCTATCTAAGTGTGTGGAGGGTTTGACAATCCTTTTGGGCTTTCCTTCAAATAAGGCCTGGACTTCTTTTCTCTTGAGACGTTCATTGGCTACACTAATATCTTTGGTAGACGGAATAATAATTGGGTATATGTGTTGCTATCAGAGACAGTTATATTCAAAATTCACATCCTCATCGTACTGTGGCACAACTGATTCCTGGTCTTGAAAAACACTTTTCTTTATTAAACGAGTTTCATAATACAATACCTTTCACGGATGATAGTTAAATAATATTTAATCGTTTAGAATATGATTGGACAGTTATAAAATATACAATACCTTTCACGTAGATTCTCTCTATCGATACGTATTAAAATCTATTTATAAAGATCAGGGTTGGATATACGCAGGGTGGGAATGGCAATCAGAGGCATTTTCTTCTTGAGAACAATACCAAATTTTTCTGAGACGCCACACTTTTCACCCCGAGGTATTGTCCAATCAAATAAGTGCACAAGTGTGGCAAGGAAATACAAAACTGTCCTCTCAGCCATTGCTATTCCGGCACAAATTCTTCTTCCGGACCCAAAGGGAAAATAATTGAAGTCATTTCCACTGTAATCCCACTTGGCATCTAAGAACCTTGTAGGATCAAATTCAAGTGGTTTCTCCCAAATTGAAGGGTCTCCATGAATAGCCCACACATTCACAAATACTCGAGACCCCTTTGGGATTGTGTAGCCTCCCACAGTGGTGGTTTCACTGGGGCAGTGAGGGACTAGAAGAGGAAGTGCAGGGTGCAATCGAAGAGTTTCTTTCATCACAGCTTGCAAGTAAGGCAATTTATTAATGTGAGACTCTTCTACCATGCTATCTCTTCCTACAACAGCTTCCAACTCTTCTTGGACTCTCTTCATTACCTCTGGCTTGTCCATCATTTCTGCCATTGCAAATTCAATTGTGTTGGATGATGTGTCGCTTCCACCCACGACCATGTCCTATTTGTTATCATCCAAAGTTTTCACAATGTTAGTTACAAGTTTTTGTTCTTTCGTTTTTATTTTTTCACAGAAGTCCCTAATCATTCATGAAGAGGGTTTGACTGGGAAGGGGAGAGTTGAGGTACGTAAGGAAAAGAAAGGAGATTTATATTTTTGCTAAACAAATTTGCTTAAAGAAAACTGAACTGAGTTCTCGGGTGAACTAGAATAGACTCATTTTTATATATAAAATAGTACACAGATTATAAAGCTATATATTTAATTAAAAATATTTTACTCAAGTTTTTTTCGTTTTTAAAATTTTAAAATAACTTAATTAATTTTCATACTGTTAAGACCAAAGTTATTTTTTATCCTTTTGGTTTTAAGGTTTAAATATATTTGATTAATGATTTGCATGTTACCTGCTCGATCTTTTATGATTAAAATTTTTCTTTTTATGTATAAATAATAAGAGTATCAAAATGAAACAACATTAGTGAAGTATAGAGTCTTAAAACTGTGTGAACCATTCGTAGAATTGAAACCTATTTTTTTTTTCTTTCAAAAAACGTAATATATGTCTGACATAACATAGCCGAATTCAATTGGGCTTGTCCTATGATTGAGCCAGCTAACACTAAAACACAAACAAACACTTAAAAAAAGACAAGATCAATATCAATTATGAAAGTTATTAAATTTTATTTTCTCAAGTTTTCCCAAATATTATTTTAAATCAAACCTTGTTTTAAAGATAAAATAAATTAATTTTTTTTACGATAAATTGATTTAAATATTTTATTTTAATTCCATTTAATTTAATAAAATTTTAATTTTAACATTTTTATGTCGTGTTTAGATAAAAAAATTAAAATTTCATAAAATATGAAACAATAATGAAAAATGCTTTAGATTATGTTTGAGAGTAAGGTTTAGAAGGGAAGAAAATGGGAGAGAAGAGGTTAGAAATGTGCTTAATCTTGTTTGGAAGTTGTTTAATTAGGAAGAAAAAGTTTTAAAGATTTATCTAAATCCTCTAAAAACTTGTTTTTAGAATTCCTCCATTTTGGAGGTTTTTCTCTTTCTCACTCTTTCATAGAATTTTAACCTTTTTTTAGAAAAAAATATTAATTTTTAAGTGATAATTCTTTAAAAATAAAAATATTAATTTTAAAATTATTTATATAATTAAATTCTCATGTCACATTTCTTTCTCAATATTAAACATCTAAGTAAGGAAAATATTTAAACTCCTTCTCTTTCCTTTTCTTTTCTCTCTTTCTCCCTTCAAACCTTTCCTCTTTCTCCCCCTCCAAGCTCTCAAACAAAATCTTAAGTAAAAATGAGATGATATATAAATAATAAGTAAAAAATAAATTAAATATAACATGAATTTTTTATGTTTTTTAAAAAATAAGTCATTTAATTTTTTATTTAAGATAAAAATTATTTAATTAAAATTTTATAATATTTTAATAATACTTCTTGCGCACTAAATTTTAAAGTCTATTTATATAAATAAACACTAAAAGTAAATGAGAAATCACGCGGTTTATAATTAAATCATAAGAAATTGTACCCAAAAAACAAGGTGAGAATATAGATTTATATAAATGATTTTTGACACTTCACTAAACCTGAAATGTAATATAATTAATTTATCTGTATAAATAATTGATTATTATTTTTTATTAATTAATTTATTTTATATATTATAGAAAACCTATTATTATTATTATTATATCAATTAAAACAATAATACAATTAGGCAGGTAGATATAATAGTATGACAATGACAAAAACAAAGACTTTTAATATATTAATACTGTAAAAGTTAAGACTAACTTTTTTTTAACATAATTTATTAAAACTAAATTTTAACAGTATTTTGGAAAAACAATTTTAAATCCAATAAGTTTTTTATAGGCAAAAGGTTTATTTTTTTTATACATCAGAATAGGAAAAAAAAGGGCAGGAAAAGTACAGTTGCAATGGAATGGGCAAATAAAAGTACAAGTAGGTCAAGGCACTAAGGCACTGGATGCTTCAGTCATTGTGAAAAGTCTATTTAAGTGTCTGAAAGTGTGATTTCACTGTTACCTCTTTTGAAAAGGAATGCTCAAAAGTCAAAAGGCACACCAAAGTGACCCAAAAATGCAACGGGAAAATGAAGTTTGTGAAAGGAAACATACCATGAGGAGAGCCTTAACATGTGTGATGGTGAGTGGTGTGGTGGAATCGCTACCTTCATCCTTCAATTTCAACAAAAACTGCAAAAAATCTTTGCTTTCTTTCCTCTTCTCTTCCCCTACCATCTTCACCCGTTCGCGAATCATCCCTTCAAATAGTCCATCGAACCGGGGCACCAACAACCGCATCTGCTTCTCCACTCCTTGCAAATCGAACCGGGCCAACCCGGGAAAGAAATCCGACACGTTGGGCTTCCCCAGAAGCTGCGTCATCTCCGCCACCAATTCCCTGAACTCTGCTCCCAAACTTTCTCTCTCCGCTCCTTCCACTGACGCGCCCCACATCATTTTCATTATCACATTCATCACCGTCAAAAACACCTGCTCCCCCACGTTCACCGGAGACCCGACTCGACCGTACAAATACGACACCGTTTTGCGCATCTCTTTGCGGCGGAGATCGTATACGGAATCTAGAGTGGTGTTGCTCAGCATCTTCAGCACACACACTTTCCTTAGCATCCGCCATTCCGATCCGTACGGGGTCCATACTATGTCGGATCCGCCGTAGGTTGCTGCTCTGCCGGCGGCAGGAACGTCGCGGTTCGCGAAAACGGTGTCATGGTCTTTGAGGACCTCACGAGCCATGGAGGGTGACGTCAACACGATCCCAAGCTTGCTCCCGAGACGGAGCTTAAAAATTGGGCCGTGGACCTGGGCCAGGCCGGCGAAGTAAGTGTGAAGGTCTGGGTCCAAGGATAGAAGGTTCCCGAAGAAAGGGAGGCCTGGTGGTCCTGGTGGAAGCTTTTGGGCCTCGGGTTTGAGGAAGCGGAGCCATGCGTAGCAAGTGACCGCGGATATAACCAAGATTGCTAGAACTATAGTAGTGCTGTAATTGTTCAAACACTCCCTGAGGTTCAGGTTTTGAAACAAAGTTGCGAGAAGAATCATGGTGCTACCGTGTTCTTATGTTGGGATGTGAGAATGGGTGGTGTTGGACTGAATAACGAGATCGATGAGGATGAGCTATTTAAAAATTGAAATGAGTGGGGGAGAAAATAAGTAATGCAATGAAAATCTGCATAAAAGACAAATATGAGTTTGAATAGACCCCGAGTGAGGTTGGGAGACGACAAAAGGGCATCTGCAAGAAATTGGTATATGGCCTAGAATAAATAAAACTATTATTTTTAATTTAATTTTAATTGTGGTTTTGTTTTAATTATAAAACTTTAATGTTAAGATAGGTGGTTAAAATATGAATTTGGTCTTTACATGTCTTTCTCGACTTTAACGTGGTCTCACACTAAAAAAAATTGTGTAATTAAGTTTCTAAATGTGAATATTTTTTTTAAATGAGTAAAATCTTAGGATAAATTAATTTTTGAAATTTTTAAATGGACATATTAATTATTAACTTTGTCAAATATCAAACATAGTAATTTTGATCGTAAGGATGTTAACTATATTGAAATAATTTATTTTTCTTCCTTGGATTCCAAAACGACCTCAATTAGATCCCTTCCTCCACCTGGGATGTTCTCAGATGTCTCCATCGTTGCTCCACCAAAGTCCATGTTGTAAACCTCCACATATTCCTTCTCCTCCACCACTTCTTCCTTCACCCCTAACACCACCTTTTACACCAACACTTGCCTTAGACCCCCCACCATATCCTAAACCTCTACAACCTCGTTCTTGTCACCAAATCCCTAATTGAAAGTTGAAGTAGTTTGCATTAACTTTTTCAATTCAAATCTTCATTGTCTTCGTGTGGATCTTTTTGTTGGATCAATCTTCCTACTCTTTTGCAAAGCCTTGCGTGTTTTTTGTCGTTGTTGTGAAACTCAATCCTGAGGAAGTTGTTCTCCAAAGAGTAGTTGGCAAGAATAGAAGAGGCATTGTTGTCACACATTGATCGAGCGATTAGGTGAAGGACCTAGAGGAATTGAAAGCCAAAGTAGGGGTCAAAGGAGGAGGAAAGGAAGTGAGAGTGTGAGATAGAGATGGAAATTGGTGAAAGTTTCAATGGAGATAGAGATGTGTTTTTTACATTGACAACACCAATATGGCGGAAGATGATGCGAGACAATGAGAAGGCAGAGCGTGATTTCAAGAGGTGAAGTGGACGTTCGTGGTTACAGTGGTGGAGTCGATTGGGAATGTCTTGGGTGGAGAGGGGAGGAAACAAAGTCGTTATGTCCATGAAAGTTAATACTGTCATAAAAAAAAAACTGTTTATTGAATTTTGTTGGACTGAAGTGTCCATATTTGTTGAAATTAATTAGTTTATTTTAAAATTTTAATGACTAATTTATTCAACGCTCATAATTTGAAAGACTTTTTTTTAAATAAGTCTTTATTGTCAAAATTTCTTTTAACACCATAAGTAAAATGAAAATTTGACAAATATGGGTAAAAGTATCTACAGTAACTTACACCTAATGTTTCATCTTCATTGTGTTAATTACAAAAGGAAGCGATTGTCGATTGATTAACGAAAGGCAACAAATGAAGTTGTGATGAATCACAGACTATTCTTTGCGATGTAGAATAAATATTTTTAGTCTCACTAGTTCTTCTGAAATCATCAACATGATAAAAGAAGATGGTTCATATGATATTTCTAATGACGCAAAAAACAAAATTAGTATGTTTGAAATTAAGTATTAAATGAATTAGTCTTAACTAATTTAATTTTAATCTATATGAGTTAGGACTATGAAGTTCATGGACCAAAAAATTCACATTGTAAAAAGTTCATAAGATTAAGTAAATTAAAACTAATTTATGAGTTAACTACTTTTAAAAAAAATATTATAATTAATTAAAATTTTATTTTATATAGCATATGTTTTACTATAAATTTACAAAAAATAAAATTATTTAAAAATAGATGAACAACAATTTAATTTGTATAATATTAAATATTTAGAATAAACTATTATTATTAAATAATATTAAATAAAATATAATAATTTATTATTAAATTAAATTACATGTTTATCTAAGTTTTGTTTGTATCATTATTAATTATTAAATTATAGTAATATTTTTTATTCATATAATTTTATAAATAATTTATTAACATATTATTTTATAATTTTATTTAAGAATTATTTATAAAATTTTTATATTATTTTTTATCAATTTATTTTTATAAAATTATTTTAAAAATATCACATGTTCAATAAATATTTTTAAAATCACAACAGATACATAAACTGATAATAAAAAATATAATAAAAAGTAACGTTAACTAAATTTACTATCAAAATTCTCAAAATAATTTATGTAAATAAAATTTAATATGTTTAAATTAACTAAATACAACACCATTATCATTAAAAATCATAAATATGTGATGCTTAATATTGTAAAATTTTATTGATACAAAAATATAATTTGTAGACTTAACAAAAGTTAATGAATATTTATAAATTTAAATTTTTTTACTTATCTTAATTAAATAGAATTTATTTTTAAAGTGAAATAACTTGATTTGATTTAAATTAATAAAATTTTTTAAATTTATTTTTATATTTAAAATATATTTTTTAATTAATTTTAAATAAAATAATTTAATAAAATAAACAAATACATGTATCTTTTATTAAAAAAAATATAATATTTATTAATTATTCTCTAAATTTTATTTTTTTTTTATAAAATTATTATTGATAATTATTAAACTATAGAAATATTTTTCATCTATATAAATTTATAAATAATTTCTTAACATATTATCTTATAATTTTATTTGAGTATTATCTATAAAAAATTTTAAATTTTAATATTTTTTATATTATTATTTTTATTTTGTTTTTATAAAATTATATTAAAAATATCATATGCTCTATAAATATTTTTAAAATCACAATAAACACATAAAACTGATAACAAAAAATAATATTAACTAAATTTATTAAGCATCTATTATCAAAATATTCAAAGTTATTTATTTAAGTAAAATTTAACATATTAAAAAAAATAAATACAATACTATTATTATAAAAATTTTAAACACATAATATTCGATATTGTAAAATTCATGAATAAAGAAAAGTAATTTGTAAACTTAGTAAAAATTAATGAATATTTATAAATTTAAATTTTGACTTATCTTAATTTAATGTAATTTTTATTTTTTAAAATATAATTTTATATTTAAAAAATATTTTTTTACTAATTTTAAATAAAATTATTTAATAAAAATAATAAAGAAACATGTGTCTTTTATTAACAAAATAATATAATATTTATTAATTGTTCTTTAAAAATAGTTTACTACCTCACTTATAATCTTAATTCTTAACCACTTATATTTTGAAACTTAGGGTTAAAGTAAGTAAATTACGTGGAATGTAGTATGGATGAGGGTTGGGGCTATATTTACAGCTCTAGTTGGCATGGTAAAAGATGGCCGTTCCTTTAGCAACTCCAGGGGCGGCAACAAAGTATCTAGTGTTGTCGGTACTATGTAAAATGGCAATTCCTTAACAATCAATGTTGATGGAAACAAAATATCTTATGTCTTGCGTAGTAAAAGCTAGTGACAAATGATTGTAGATTGTTGGGGGCCATGGAGGCAGATGGAAAATATCAAATTTTTTGTTGGAGTTAAAAAGAACAATGTTAATGATGAGAGTGGATTGTTTGGTGGGATCCAAAATGCGGGGACAAGTGGGGGTGGAATGGTAATATCTGGTGGCAAGTGCGGTGGTGAATTGATGATGAAGGGATTGGGAGGCAATAGCCATGGAAAAGTTGGTATTCTTCAAGAGAAGGGAGGGAAAAAGACGAGAACTCACTCAGTCCATAATTGAGATGGATTCGTATATTTTGCAGTTAAAGTGAGAATTGCAATTTACAATATAAATTTGTTTAAGTAAAAAAACTTACTTAATTTGACAAAAAAATAATTTTTATTTAAGTTAAAAAACTTGTTGAAGTAAATTAATAAAAATAATAATTTTTGTTTGAATAAAAAAAATTTGCTTTAAGACAAAATTGTAAAAAATTTTAAATTTTATCTTTTCTTCTCTAAACTACAGAAAATTTAAAATTTTTTTGTGTAAAATGTAAGATTATGTATTATGGTCATACCACAAAAATTTAAAGATTGACCATAAAAACTTAAAGATTTTAAAACACGTAATACTGTAACTATTTCTTAACCAATTCTCAAAGTCATCATTCTTATAATTTTTATCATCATTTTTAATAATTTAACTTAATTTTAAATTGTTTTATCTTGCTTATACTTAACACAAATAATACATTAGACAATAGCTTTGAAATATTTAGTAGAAAGATATATATAAAAGTTTTTAATAACTAGATAGCTATTGATGAGAAATAAATATTTATCAAATTTTTTATAGTTTATAATGGAAGAAGATGAAGTTTTAATATTTTTCGTAATTTAAACTTAAATAAATTTTTTGGCTCAAACAATTTTTTTTTTACCAAATTTACTTAAACAAATTTTGTTGATTTAAGCATAAATCATATTTTGTCAAATTTGTTTAAGCAAATTTAGATTATAAGCTGCAGTTTCACCTAAACTAAAGAGGATTTAAATCCCTAAATATGCTTACCAAATTTTAAACCTTTAAATCCACGATTAAAATTGTGTATAATTACATGACGGAAAAAAAAAGAAGACTGCATAGTTATAATTGACAGTGTATAAAATTATCACGCCAGTTAAGCTATGATCAAAGTTACTTCAAACCAAGATGTTACTAATTAATCAATTAATCACTAAGGAATGCCAAGAGAAAAATTCGTCTTCTCTGTAACTTTGACTTGAGTCCCATTTGAGGGAGAGAGAACCTCAAGCTATACTTCATAAATTACGTAGCTATGATAGATTTAGGAGGGTCTCCGACTTTCTACTTCCTCAAGAAAGTAGAGTTGACTTCTTCATTCTTAGCTTAGATGATTGGCTTGTCTTGTGCTACGCTTCGTCTTGACAGAGAAGCTAGCGGGAAGATTCGACTAGAATGATTCTGATGACTGATGGTGACATTGTAGGAATTTGCAAGTTTTGACAAATGGAAGATGGAACCACAAATCTTTTTCCATATGAATAGGTTTCATATTATCAACTTTTGTTTGGCCTTTAATGTGCACAACTAATCGTCACGAGCCTGGGTAATTGGTATAGAGATAAGGATGATATTTGCGCAGGGAACCTCAACATCCGGCATTTTATCCTAAATCTTAGCCTTCACCTAGGGATTGCAATGACTAAAGTATTCGATTAACACTCGCAAAATTTATCCACAAAGGATAGAGTATTTATCTGCTATACAGGTACGGGTATAAGTGTAGATAAAAATTCACAAATTTTAATGGAAATATGTGCGGATATAAATATCTAAGTACCCACCCCGCCTCATACCCGCATATATATATATATATATATATATATATATATATATATATATATGCTTGAAATTTATTTTACAATTATGCATTAAATTTTTGTATTATTATATTACTTATGTGAAGTTATATAAGATTAATATAAAAATATATTTAATAATAAAGTAAATCAAAAAAATTATTTTAGTTTATATTTTTAATAGAAAAATTTATTTACTATTTTATATCATTTAATTAGACTAATACAATTTAATCATTACATAGTTAATATGAGATTGACTTTTTTTAAAATATTATTTATATATGACACACATAAAATATTTTTTACACAAATATTTTTGTTAATAAAATCATATTGATGTTTAATTCATAAAGTGAATGATAAATAATAAATATATTGTAAATATTTTATAAATTTTACAATCACCTACTATTATCGTAAACTTATTATTTATTAATAATATTTAAATTTTATTTTTTATATTTTAATTTAAAATAATATTTTTCTATGCAACATATGCATTACAAAAATAACTATAATATATTGAATCTAAATAATATTATTCTTACTATTTATTCATGTTTAAAGAAGTTTTTAAAAAGATATAAATATAAAAAATTATTGTTAATTTTTTTCAGATAAAAAAGTATAATTTTTTTAATATACATATATATATTTCTTTATTATAAAATTTTATTGTAACTATTTATCTTTTATTCAAATTCTTTCTTTTAAAATTTATATACATTATAAATATTTAATTCATTAAAATAATTTTTCAAAAATTTGTATTTTTGATAAAATACTTTCGTATAATATATGAGTTAAAAATACTAGTATTAATATATATATATATATTAATTATATTATATTATTTTAATTAAATCTATTAGTTTTCTTACAATTTCAAATTCAAAAGTTAAAAAAATATTTTATGCATTCATTTTCTGTTGTTAGTATTGAACTTCTCTACTGTAACTCTATTCTCATTCTCAATGTATGTCTCATTAAAACCTAACAACTATGAAACGTTATTCATTAGAATTAGTTGTCAATGTCGTCACAAGAGGTTACCATATAATCTCACACGAAGGGATAACCATACAAATATATTTTGTCATTCTGACATTACCAATCGATCAAATCTCACACAAGATTAGGTTATCACTGACAAATAACTTGTGTGTTTAGTTTCGCTTATTGTTTCTAAGAATTTTAGTTTAAAAAATTATTATATTAAAATACATTTAACATTTATGATCTTTGAATATTTATTTTTTATCTTTATTTATACCTTGTTCGGCAACTATATATTAATTTTTTGTATTATTATACTACTTATGTGAAGTTATATAAACGTATATTTTTTTTATAAATGTTTTTCTCTCAAACAAGCGCGAGTAATGGATACAAGATAGGTATGCAGGTACCCAGAAGGTACAAATAAGGAGATTAATATTCATACCCACGCGAGTATAGGACCGGATACGGGTATTTTTTTAAAATGCAAGTATAGGAATAAGTACTATAGTACTCTACTCATACTCTACCCATTGTCATCCCTACCTTCACCTGAGATATATGTGCTGAGCTTTGGGGTCTCTCTTCATGCAATTGACCTAAAACTTAGCCTTCACATTGGGCATTTTGCCATTAAAGCCAATCACGTTGTGGCCAGCAATCTTGTGTGATTAATAATCTGTTCTTCTCTATAACACGTGCGTAATGCTTGCTTTGTCTGTCGTTTGGAAGCACGTTTCTGGACAACCAACTTCTGTCGATGGCTTAGGTCTTCTTATTTAGTTGTGATTCTTGTTCATACCTTTCCTTTGCATGAATGACTGACTATACTGCACTCGTTCTATTGATAGAGTATTTTGGGACATTAAAGCTGTCCCAACATAAAAATATCCAAATTTAATATAACTTGTAATATCTATTTTTTAGAACCAGAAGTATACTCAACTGACTAACTTATAAATACTACCCTTGATAGTATGTAGGGCACATACATAACTGAAAATGTTCAAATTCCAAACGAATAATATGCCACTTATTCTGAGCTTAAAAACATAGTTTAAAGTTGGGAACAAAAGATTGAACAAAATTGGCAGTAACACAATAAGTATTTGTCAGTATGTAGTTCATTAGTTTATTTGCATTTCTCCGTATAACTTACTTGTCACCTAAACGGCCAAACCTACGCAAGCAATCAGCAAAACTGGTAACAAGACTAGCACACTTCAAAGGGTCCTTGATATGTTCCTTGTAACACGCTAAGGTAGCAAGCCTCTCACCCATGCAAGGTTCAGGCTTCGGGTTTGGAAGCTTATACTCTTTATCGTGGAGATCCTTTGCCTTTTGGGTTACTTCCTGCAACATGTTCTCCTCTTGCTTCTGCAATCTTTCCAAAACCTTCTCGCTTTCCTGCAGCATAGACCGAATGCCTTCTAACTCTGAATGGGTAGGTTGTACAGGCAACGTTCCTGGTAGAAATAAAGGGGGCTGCACTGGCCACCCTGGAGTAGCTGCACTCTCTGGCTTGTCAGTTACATTAGATTGGGGCTTTTCAGTCTCTCTTGCCGCCTTACGTCTAATCCTTCTAGATTTTTTTTTTGGTACCGCATCATCAACAAGCTGATTAACAAGGTCATCGCTAATCTGAATTGTAAACTCACCCATTGTTGATAACTCCTACACAAGGTGCCAGAAAGATATCATTAAAGTGATAATGTTAAAAAAATGATGCAGGAACAGAGGGAAAAAAATAATTAAAATTATTTTATTTAATTTTTGTGGCTTCTATTTATAGGTAGCATTAAGTATCTTATTTGTAAGATCCACGCACTGTTAGGCTATGTTTGAATATCTAAAGGTGGATGGAATGGAAGGTTGGAATAAAATAAAGTGATATGGAATAAAACTAGGGTTTTATTAACCTCAGCCCTTAGGACTGAGTTTAAGCATCTACAAATAGAAAATTTTTATGAAAAAAGTATACATTTATTGTATTGAAGTTATAAAAATACAATAAATATTTTTCTTTCAAAAAAATTTTATTATTATTAACTGCTTATTCTCAGTCCTAAGAACTGAAGTTAACAAAATGCATAAAACTATTATGTCACTGAATGTTTTATGATGCAAGTAAAGTTTCCATTCCATTCGCCTTAATGGGCCAAGGTTAGTAGTAAGAGCCAAGAATTGCATTTTGGGACTAGTTTCCTTGCAATCTGCTTTCCGGTAAATTGTTTCTAAAAAGTTGTAATAATAATTGTAATTTGGAATTCCTAAGAGATATAGGATGGAGGACATATAATTCAAAAAGTGTTCGCTCGTACTATAAAAGCAGCTAAATCTCAGCCTTTGTATGACAGATCCTTTGCTTGAGCAGAACAACCAGCAATTGACCAAGTTTGATTTTTTCTTCTTTCAAACTTCTATTTCTTAGGTAGAAACCTATCCAGACTATTTACTTTACATCAAAGATACAAACTATCTATACATTGTCTTAATTAGTAACTAATTCCTCCATTAGTTTCACAAGTTGTGAGTTTCCCTAAAGACCTGGACACTAACAAATCTTGCTAACATGTCAACAAACTTGTGGCATGTTTGTTTCAGCTTCATTTAGGAAAATAATCAGTTTTTCCTATTTGAAGTGACTACCAAATACACAGTCACATGCTACTCAGAAACTTGGCCAGTTGTACCTAGCAATTAAAATATAATAATTGAACTCATGACCAAATTAACACTACTTAACAAATAACAATGCAGCATATCGTGAATAAGAGAAAAAGAATAAAAAAGCTCTAACATAAAGAAGACATAAAATCACTGTAAATGTATGAAACTACAAAATGCACGAAAAAACACAATAAAATACATTTCAAATCGTGTATGAGAGTGAAAACCCCACAGAGATAGACCAATGATCCAAGTGTATTGCAGATTAGACAATTAATGAGAATTAAAAAAATTGAACATCTTGGTATGTGTCTAAAGTTGAAGTGTCAATGCATTAAAATTGAAGCTAGAAACATCACTAACCTAAAACTGATACAGGATGCCATAGACAGAGATACGAAATTAAATTTGGAAGGGGGGTGGGAGCCCTCTTCCAACTATAATACTTGTATAGATTGCCAGAACAAATTCTTAACATGCTAAAGCCCTTTATTCACAACACATAATTAAGCATTCAAAGTTCAGAAATTTACAGCAAACCAATACAGGCAGATAGTGTTACGAAAAGCTAACACAAGTTCATTGTCAAAGAGAGGTTCTCCAAAAGCAAAGCAATAACAGTAAATAAATAAAAATCCAGTAAACAAATGTTGCATCACATATAGTATACTAAAGCATTTCATCTGAGTATTCAAAGTCTATGACACAGAAGGATGACATTCCAGACTAAAAGCCATTCACATGATCGTTTTTTCCCCAAAAGCCAAGTGCCATTAAACACACGATGCCATCAACATATATAACCTAGAAAACAACTTGACTATAGGTTGATTTGGAATTAGAACATTTAAAGCACAATCACACGATAAATGAGGCAAATCCTAGCAAAAGGACTCTTAATATCATAATCCAACTCATATGGTCAAACAAAAGCAATCACCTGCCACAACTAGACCAAGAAATAAGTTCGGAAAAAAGCCCAATCAAAATAAACATCTAGAAAAGCTCAGGTTTGATCGCATCTGAACAAGGAAAGAGAAAAACGTACCGAATAGCACGATAGTTTTCAATGTCACGAGTTATGGTACGACACTAAGGCGGAATCACCGAATTGTGTGGCATCAGGCAGGTTGCATCAAACCCCTGACCCGGCGGTAGCCAAAGCAATCCCTCTCACGCACACGTTTGGCAAGCACGTGCGCGAAGAGTTTTTGGGTTAATATTAACTTTAGAACTAAGGCCCAAAATACCCTGGGGCCCGAGCCCGAAAAACACGATCCCCAAGTCCAAAGAGCTATAATCAGCATCCCTATACAAATAGGAACTATCTTAGAGTGATTCCATCAACGGGTTTCCTATGGATACAAAGAGAGCAAATCACTGTGCTCACCTTGAAATAATACTTATTCAAGCCTTTCTGCGAAGAATTTAATTTGCGGGGCTATATTTTCTTCCAACTCAATAATTCAATGTGTTCTTTTGGTTTTTGCAACGACCTACTAATTTCAAAGATGGGCGAGAGGAAATTTCTGGTGGTAAGAGTGTGTTCGGGAAATCAAATTGCTGAAATTACAACATAAGTTAATGTCTACACACTAATCAATTTGATTACACATTCTATTATCTCAATTTGTCATTTTTGGTTCACACTAGAAAGTATATGTATGCATGTATATAAGATACAATGATTCAATTGTAGTGCTGCAACTTGTGTGCGATAGGTGGGTTGTGGTGGCGACGCGGCATAAGTATAATGAAAGAGGGTTTTCTTTCTTCAAATTATAATGGATAACTTTTGTCAAAAAAAATAAAATAAAACAAAAGTGTAAAAGTATAAAAAAGGTTCAAACAATCGGTGGGTTGTGGTGTTGAAGATTGCCTCCTTGTATGTTCTCATTTTAGATGGGAAATGGATCCTATACAGTGATATAATTATTGAAAAAAATCTCCATCATTCAAATAATTATTTTACTCATTTTTTAAAATATATTTTTTAGTAATTAAAGGCCAAATTTTAACACTGCATCATGTCAATGTTTTTTTTTTTTTTTTCGAATGAGAGGATATTGATTCATTTAGATGGAATCCAATATTTGGCTCAAATAAATAAAAATATTTTCATAGAAAGAATTGGGGAGAAATATAAACTAGCTCGTAACTCCTTAGAAGATAAGAGCTAATGACTAGCTCAATTTGCGATAAAACTTGGACTAATAATATTGTAAATTCAACGATCTAATTGTTGAATAAATTAAAATGTATAATAATGTCTAGAAGAATAATTTTTTATAAAATATTATTTTTTCACTTTCATGTATTTGATTTCAATGAAAATGATTCATTTAAAAAATAAAAATTATTATTTTTATTAATAATTTATATGAATTTTAAAAATGAAATAACTAAAATAGCTATTGATAATAATACTCTCACGTAAAAGAGTTGCATAACCCAATATCATCGTACTTATATGTATAATTAATGAATTCAATGAAATTAATTTGCAAAATAAATGAGTTGGAATGAATTCAACCAAGTAATTCATAAATTGGTTTATGAATCTTAACTTTAGATTCACATAATTCAAGTTGACCTATTAAATCAAATAGTCTGTAAATCTAAAACTTTGATATATGTAAAATTTGAACCAGATTCTAATCAAACCAATTCTTGTTTGGTCGAGTTAAATGATTCGACTTGATTCATTTTTAATTTTATTGAATATAGTGAATAATGTTAAAATAAATCATAATTAAAATTATCTGATTATTCGGAGGTAGGCCTTATTCCACGCTTAAACTAAAGCAAATGTCTTTTTCACTTTTTCCTTAAAATTTGGCTCTAAGTTTTTTTTAAGATTTAATAATAATAATAGTGTTTTCGTGTTAGCTATTTTGGTTAAATAAAATTATCTCTCTGAATAATCTTAAGGATATATTTACATATAGACTTGTTTTGATTTACTCAATTGTTTGGTTACTTATTTTTGTGTATTGTATACTAGATTATTTTTATTTTTTTAATTATCACGCCAGGAAAACTTTAATTGATTATTGAATTCATATTTCTAAGATTAATGTTTTCTTCTCATTGTTTGTTTCAGCCCTCTCACTTTCCGAAATCACTAGAAACATTTTCCCCCATCAGCACTGCAGTTAATTAAAGAATTTAAAGTGGAACAGTAATGCAGCGTGAGGAGGGTGTGTAATGATTAAATTCTTAAATTTGCAGACCTATTACATCATTGTAGATGTTATGTGCACATCGAAAAATGATGGGCACTTTTTATTCAACGTCTATCTAGTATAAAATTGGTTAAGTCTAACGGCAATCAAACATAAAGCAAGATCACCCAAAATATCACTAAATCGTATGCTTTCGCCCAACAAGAATTGTACAAGAGGAATATTAACAACATAATTTTTAATTTATTTTTTAATGTATTTAAATTATTAGTTAAAATATATAAAAGATTATAAAATTATTTTTATTTAATATTTTTCTTATATTTTTATAATTTTCAATAAGTTTTAAAAACATGTTAAAAAAATATCAACCAGTATATTACCAATGTACCTCGTTAACTCAATGTTATATTTCACTTTGTATAAAAGACATTAATTTTTTTGTAATGTATTCAACTTTTTTTTATTTCCTTTCTTTCTTGGTAGGAGGGTTTCACAGGACTTCTTTTTTCTCAGACCTAATTTAATAGTAGGTCCTTTTCTTGAAAGAAAAAAAAAAAAAAAAAGAAGAAACCTCATAATCAATGCTTTTCAAAAGCCAATATAAGTTAATAATAATAATAAAAAGTACAGGGCGACTATATTTGCATAGTGTTCCCCATGCCTCTGTTTCTGTTTTTTATACATTTTCTTTGTTTCAATCATCTGATTCAATTCTGGTGCAGAGGGTAAACTTGCACATGATTAGTTTAGGATTAATGTAATCTGAATTTTCATTTACTTTATTGTTCTTAGATATAACTTCAACTTTAAATTTATGTTTATTAGAATTCATAATTTTAAATTTGATTTTTTTTATAATTAAGTTTCTATTTTTGCATTATTTCTACCTAGTTGAGACATGGTTGCTTCTAGTAGATAATATCTTTAATTTATTTTATCTAATAAGCAAATAAAAAAATATTAAGCACATAAGTTATTAAAAGTAATCTTATTCAGCTTGAATGTGATTATTTCTAGTAAAAAATACAGGTTATTTATAAAAGAAAAAAAATTGAAGAATGCTTTGACATATCAAGTAATAAATTTGGTTTTATTTAATAACTTATTTTTTAATAAATTTATTTAAATTAGTGGTAATTTTTGCAATATATGTCAACTTGTACCGCAAGAAAATCTATGGTTACATAAACCTATATTATCTGTTACATGAAACAGCTAATAGTCGTTCTTGAGCTAAATGACAAGTAACAATGTTTGTATCTCAAGAGAGGACTCAAACTGGGATTGCAAAACCGTGGAGCAGAAGAGAAGAGCCGTTCAATTTTCCAAAAACATTGCAACATTCGTCGCTGTTAACCAATTGGAACCAAAAACACAATCCTTGTGCGCTTTTGCCTATGCCATGAGTTGGCTAATCGTATTGTTTTCTTTTGGGGGTGTTATCATGAGCACCACTAATCTTATGCTAATGGGGACATATCTGGTCCAGGGGTACATAATGATTCGGGAAGTTCCTTAAATTGCAACTTGTGTTCCAGAGCATATACTCTGCCTTTAATTGTACCTTTTTTAGTTTATGTCATTCGCCAAAATAATGATCAGATGAATAAATATAATTCGACCAAACTTTTCCCAAATGCATCTCCATTGAAATATCATTTCAGTTTAATTTGTCAAGAAAGCTAAGCTAATAAGGGCATTTGTTTCTTGCCACATACATTACATCATCATAACCACAATATCAAATATGAAAAATTTCGTTATCCTGCCCCGAATATGTTCAAGCCACTTTGTTAGTGGCAATCAAGATAAGCTGTTCAAATATTATTGGTTAAGATTATATTTTTATTATTGTTTGTTAATATTCTATACTTTGAGATTGGTAGAATTATTATAAAATATAAATATTAAGTTAATACTTTCTTGAGGAGTAAGAATAAACTAAAACTAAATATTACACGAAGATAATATATATAAACTATGCATTTTTATTCAGTACTTTGGTAGGGTATAATGATAGTAAGGGTCTTCATATTTAAACCTGGATTGTTTTTTAAATAATATTTGGAGATAATTTTAGTTGTTTCTTTTAATTTTTGGGGTGTAATTTTAGGATACATGTATGAAAAAAAAATAAAAAGTAAATATTAAAAACAATTATATATTATATCACATATAATATTATATTTTAATTATTCAAATAACTTTATGTATAATTCATAACTTTTACCCAACAGGCTATTGGCTACCGTTGAAACACATTTATATTGATTTGAATGTTTTAAGATAAAACAATGCCGGTTATCATAGTTCGTTTGCTAAAATTCGCTTATAAAAATAGTAACTTACAGTATATCCGTTAATTCATTGATGTCCAAGTGATTTGGAAAAAGGCACGAGGTTGATTCATCCCTTTTCGCAAGATGGATTTTCATTTAGACGTACTTTTTTGTATTTTTCTTGTTTCGATTTTTAGATTTTTTTTAATTGATTTTCAATCAAACACCAGTTCGATTTGATATTATTTTTCACATGTGAATGTATCAACAATTTTTTCTTAGTCATTTTTGTAATATAAAATTATAACTTATTATATATTTCATCTTTATACAGGTGAATGCATATTTGGATTAGTCTATTTTTAAATAAGAGGAAATTTGAACTTGGTCTAAGTACATGATTGGTTTTTTTTTAATTATATATTTATTTCTCCACTTCACATATATTTATAAATTAGTTTTTATATTTAAAAAACAATATATATATATATATATATATATATACATACTTTTATATTTTGATCTTCGTAATTGTCGTTTTAGTTTCTACCATCATAATGATGTTAACAATAAAATAAATTAAATCATAATAAAATATTTATATAGAAACTAAAATGTTAGTAAAATAGAACTAAAAGATTAATTTTTTTTAAGTGTCATAAACTAATTCATAAATATGTCAAATATAGAAATTAAACATGTATTTTAACCAATTATAATTTTTAAAAAGTTACATAATTTTGAATTTAAGTATCTTAATTAAATATTTATGTAACTTTTGCATAAATTATACACTTAATTAAACTTATTTTTTTTATATTATATCAATTTTTATAATATATTTAAAAAAAATACTTTTTTCATATAATAAATAAAATATTTATTATATTTGAAATATGAATTTTACACTATTACTTAAAATTTTAAAGAATCAATTTTATTATATAAATGAATTCATAAATTTTTTTATTATGATATACGTAAAAAAATTTATATATTAATTCAAAATTTTATTAGTTCGTCATTTTGCTACTTTCTCTATTAATTAAATTAAAAAATATACATATCTAATTTTTTTTATTACATCGACTCAAAAGACTAATATACTTAGATATTTTTTAATTATAATAATTTTTTTTGTTATATATAAATTATTTTAATATTTTATTAGCTATAATAATTATTTTTTCATTAATTTATATATTTACAAAATTAATAAATTTTATAATAAATATATACAATTTTAAACTATAAATGATATGAATTTTTAATATTTTTAAAATTTATAATTATTTTATTAGATGAATTATTTTTATTTTTTTAGATATATTCACTATTTTTTTGTTTCTAATTAAAATATTTGTAATCTCTATAATTAATAATTATTTATAAATTAGTTCTTATATTAAAAATAATTATATTTTAGTTTTTATATCAGCATTTTATTACATGTTAATCTTTACTGATATTAAGGATAGAGACCAAAATATAATATAAAAAATTTATATAAAGACTAAAACATAATTTTTTTAAAAATAAAAATTATTTTGTAAACGAGTGTTAATTATAGAGAATAAATATATAATTTAATTTTTTATTAAGTTAAAAGCTGTTTTTACTATACATTTTTATTTTATGTTTTAAATATATATAAAAAATTAATTAATTTTTATATAATTATTTAATTAATTGATTAATAATAAATAAATAAAACAAGTAAAATATAATTTTAATATCATATATTTTTTAAAATCATTTAACATAAATTAGATCAAAATAATTTTAATTTTATAAGTTGTTTATTAAATAAAATTTTATTATATTTATTTTACAAAAAAGATGGACATGATATTTTTGGTATTAAATATGCAGTATTTACATCTCCTTGAAAAACATGATGGCAGGAAGCTTTTTCACATGATTACAGACAGAAAAATGATATCGGAGTTGAACAAACAAAAGGAGGGCAGTGGGGGACACAGGAAAAGGGAAGGAGAGTTATTGTGCATAAACATGATAAACAGTAAAGATTATTGTGCTTCATTACCATGTCAAAATAATATTCGGCCATGCCATTTCCACACGTGTGTCCCACCTGCAGGCTCAAAGTTCATGGTTATTAATAATCTCCACCTCTCAATTCTCTGACTTCTCTTTGTCCTCTATGTCTCTATCTATCTTATCCTAATAATGCGACAGAAAACAGGAAATGGAAGGATACAACTGAACTTAAAATCACAAAAGATTTTACCATTATTTTCAAAGTAAACATCTTTGTACAATAGGTTTCCGAACCCACTACACATTTCCCATTTGTTATGTCCCTACCGTACACATAAATACAGCATTTAGAAGAAAGTACGTACTTTGGCATTTTTATGATTTGGCTTTTGGTTTGCTATCATTTTTGTGATTTGGTTGGCGAGGAACCTCATAAGAGGAAAGGTTCACCTTCCAAACATTCTGTAAAATACTAGCTACATAAAATTCAACACCAAGAACCATAGCTTGAGCCCGTGGTATTGTCACATTTACAGATTTGATATCTTACCATGATTTTGTAGACAATTAATTTAGTAATTCGCTTCACCACATGTACTGCATGCATTGCATGCTAATGCTCCTCTTCCTTTATTCCTATAGTTTGCAGTGCATTTGATTCTATTTCGTTGAAACAATTAAACCCAAAATCATGAATACCAAAGTCTTGACAATCCAATAACCAAGCACAATTATCCTCCCAAGATGGAAGCAAAGCCATGTCATTATCTGCCTTTGGTGTATTGTCCCATAATGCTTCCACCAAAGGAGTTTCATCCAGCCACAGGGTGTTTATTAGAGATTCCTCACTACAAATGCTATCAGGCAAAAGGGATTCTTCCCCAGAAGAATTTTCAGCTAAGGATGAACTTGAATTCTCCTCTGAGTTCAGAACCCCATGATCAGTTTCCTTGACCTGATCAAGGTCATTGCTAGGTTTTGGCAAATTATCTGCAGGGTATGATGAACTATCCTTGGATGCTGCTTGTTTATTGAGAGGTTCATGAGTAACGGGATCAATACCCATCTTAAGGAGCTTTTTCTTGATATGAGTGTTCCAATGATTTTTAATCTCATTGTCTGTTCTTCCGGGTAACCTGGCAGCAATTTTGGACCATCTGAGACAACAATTAACCAAATATCAAAATTCATTAGCGCAGGTTTTGGTCGCGGCATTTACAAATAAGATTGGTGTGGATGTCTTTCTTGGTCGCAAAGATATGTACAGATCAACTAACTGCAATTTATTATTATTCTTCAACAATGAATATCAGTTCCAATTTAGTAACATTTTTTCTTGAAAATTATTATCGCGGGCCAGTGAAGTTCCGCTTTTTAAATTTATATAGCACAGAAAGTAAATACATGAGAAGTTGAGAAGAGACTGATGCTATTGGTTACTTGTCTTGAAATTTATAAAAATGTTAATATATCAGCTTAGAAAACCAAGCAAGTATTCAATTGCTTCTACCTTAAGTAGCCTTTGTTTAAAATATAATTTTAACTGCGCTACCTTCTTCAACATTAATGGTTTAGACTTCAGCACTTTCCAATGTAATTTAACACATATTCAAAGGAAAAACCAAACTAACGAGCAGGGATTATAGTTGAACATGGGGCAAACATAGCAGTAATTCTTGCTTGAACATATTGTGTACAGGCTTAGCCAATTATAAGTCCAAGATGTATTAAAGTAATAATAAAAAAAGACAACAAATACGTGTTAAAATTATTTTAATATTGTCATTACCTTTTGCTTGATTATATTTATGAAAACTGTGCTAATGTAAGAATTGTTGACAAACAGAAGGCAATGCATGAAGCTCAACTAGTGAAAAATAAATAACCTGTTGCCAAGACGGGCATGAAGATCAATAACAAGTTGCTCCTCTGCTTCAGTGAGAAGGCCTCTCTTTAAGTCAGGGCGAAGATAATTAGTCCAACGAAGACGACAACTTTTGCCACAACGCCTAAGGCCAGCAAGCTTAGGCACAGCTCGCCAACAACACTGGCCATTGGTGAGAATGAAGTTGATGAGTTTCTTGTCTTCTTCAGCAGTCCATGGACCTTTCTTCACCCCAAGTTTGTCACAGCAAGGTTGCCTCCCCATAGCACTAACAAGCTAACCAATGCAATGTTCCAAACTAATGCAAAAGTCTCACCAACACTAGCTTGTAATGAGTAATGACCCAAAAGCCCCACACCCACCTTTATATAAAGTCCTCTACTTTTCTTGCGTGATTAATTAATTACATACATAAATATATATATATATATATATATATATATATATATATATATATATATATATATATATATGCAATAAAATCATGCATCAAGAAAAAAAAAAGGGGGTCTAAGGAGGCAGAGAGAAACAGGAGAAGGTTGGGGGCTCCACCATGGGTTGTGAAAGGAACGTGGGAACTAATAAGGGGTGTTCTGGTGTTTCTAGCTGCACAAAATGGGTGATGCTGACCCAAAGGCTGAGCTAGATGTAAGCATCCCAAAAAAGTATAAAAATAATGTGCAAAATGATTATACTTTTTAACATTTTCCATTGCAAAATTACAATTCCACTGCCCTGATTTCACTCTTACTCAACCATTTCGTCATCACCACGTTTACATGTCCTTTAGCTTCAGATCATGATACGGTAAGGGTGATTGTTACAAGTCTTTGGTCTTGATGAACAATATGAACCGGTTGATGTGATGAAAATCTGATCTGTTTGATCAACGCTGCAGGATCATCAACAGATAAGGGGCTAGTTGGGGCTACTAGCTGTCCTTAGTTCAAAGAGTTTAGCGACATACTATGATCTTATCTATTTGACATTCCTGATATACAAAATTGGACAACGATCTCTAGAGATTCCAAAGCCACAAATTTGTTTTTCCCTCTTTTCCACCATACAAATCATAACTCCCAGATCACTTGTGTCCTTGAAACTGGATGTCATTAATGCAAATTGTGGAAATTTACTATGACAAACGTATATGCATAACCAAATGTAGAAACAGTCCAATAAGCCACGACTATAGCATGTTTGGAAGGATGACTATAGGGGGCTCAAGAATAAATGGTTAAGATTAATTTTACTAGTCATACCTAGGAAGGGGATAGATCGTGTAGATATGTTAAAGGGATTGATATTGACGTCCCAATGAGAAAGCATTTATTTATTTAGGTAAGGTGCAGTGGCATCAAATGCTAATTGAAGCATTATGCAAATGATAAATGGATCATAGAATTTTGCTATAATAGAATTCCGTTCTCTCATCTGTTTGTGTGAGTTTCATGTAGATATGTGAATAAATAAAAATCTAACATTAAAAAAGAATAGACAAAGTAACGGCTTTAGAAGTCCCCATGTTTTTGGCTCCACTAAACCTAACAATATAATGTTATGCTTAATTTTCTGGTGTATAACTCATTTTCTTTCAAATATTCTCATCAGATAGAGTTCGGGTCAACTACTAGCATGTGTCTCATCTATTTTTACTACATAACAGAATAGAGTCATAGATAGTGGGCGCTTAGAGTCATATTTGGGATAAAAAATCAAATGTGAACAAACAGAGGAAGGAAGTAAATATGTTTTTCTAACTTCGTTGAAACTGAACCACAGAAGAGTTAGTCTAAGCAGAGATGGTGAGGAAAATCTCTCTCAACCCTGGTACACTCGTTACCACTTGATCATAACGTTCCAGTTTTTTCAAGAGTAAAGAATTGATTATCAAAAACTCAAATTACTGTGTAAAGGCTCATGAATTATTTTATAATTCTGTTTTTGCTGTCAAGAAATATTTTATACTTCTAACATAATTGATGTATTTATGATCCTAAATTTGGTATTGTGGTTAATTCAATTTCAAAAGTTAACTCATAAATTAAGAATTGTTGTAACTTTTATAAGTTCTATTTTGATGTATTTAAAATCAAACAAGACTGTTTTTAAACTTCTAATCTAATTAAAAAAAAAAAAGGCAAAAATCAATCAAACAAAAAATTTCATTATATTTTACTATTTGCTTCAAAATTCAGCTTTTATTACTTAATCGAAATAAATAAACCATTCTACAATATATTCATATTATTTTTCTATTATATTTTCAAAGACACCTCTGTGTAGTTGATATGAGATTTTACCATATTTTTTTTTTATGATCAAGATTGGACATCTAGATAACATAAAAATCACAAGTTCAAATTGATTGCACTAAAAAAATAATGGAACTAAATTAATTACACTCCAAAAATTCGTCGGGCTAAGTTGTATTTTTTTTCTTAAGAAACAGTGACCCAATACGACATCTACGATAAACTCCGATATTATTTTAAATTTAAGTTTGAACTTTATAAGTTATAGTTCAGCCATTTGTATTCACGTGTCATTACAGCAAAGATTAATAATTATTAACTTTGGATTAGATTTTATTGCATATTCAACATATTATTTTCGCAAGCTAAGCAGATATGATTAGCAGGATATGTATAAAATTAGCGCAAAAACTTGGTTTGGTATCTTTGACACGGACTGGACACGAGCATGTTGATTCTAACACGGTTAAGCCGATCGCGTTTCTCTACCTACGCCTAATTATTCTACATCGTTCCATTCTCAGAGCAGCTTCGTCAAAGATTGGTTGATTATGCATTCGATTACGTTTCCCTTTTATTTATTTATTAGGTTTTGTTAATCTCAGCCTTTTCAGCTAGAATAAATAGTTAATAATAATCAAATTTTATTAAAAAAATATTTATTATATTTTTATAACTTTAAAATAATAACTGTATATTTTTTTATAAAAAAAATTTATTTGTAAATATTTAAATTTAACCTTAAAGATTAAAGTTAATAAAATATTTATTTATTTAAGTGAAGAGCTTAGAGTTCTTTCTGACATCTATCTAACTATTAGGACTTTATCGGGGAATTTAGAGAGAAAGAAAAGATAAAAGTTTAAAAAATAAGAAAAAAAAATGTTAATATAAAACCTCTTTAATCATGGAAATTTAAAAACATTAAATTATCAAGATTTATAAATCCTTTTCTTTCAATTTAAAAACATTTACGTAAGTCTTCTTTAGCCTCTTATTTAAAAAAAAAGAAAAAGAAAAAGAAAAAGAAAACAAGATAGTTACTAACAAACAAGAAATTGGCATTGTGCTATAGGTGATCATATCCCAGTCAAGAGATCTTTTTACATACACATAATAGCATATATAAGTTGTAAGCTCTAAATTGCTCAAAACCTGAAATATTATCATAATTAGAAATACTTGTTTGACACAGATTTATGAAGAATTTGTGTACACTAACTGTAAACAAAGTGTTTCCTCCCAATGAAACCTTCTCCCAAACAACTTGAAGTCGTGACAAATACTAGCTGTATTGTTCACAGCAGAAAGAGAAGTTTCTTAGAGTAAAAATTTATTTCAGCCATTTAACATATCTCGTAAGTTGTACAAAATATATTTTAATAATTTATTTTTATTTGAAAATCCTCCATCCTCTTTGAATTAAGAAGGAGTTACACAATGTTCAAACAAGAAACCTTAATTACTTAAGAAAAATTAACCATTTATTACTTAAACCAATCTCAGTTAGAAAAATTCCTTTCTAACTTAACCTTGTGACGTATACCGGTTTTATCGTTCCCAATAGAAAGAGTTTTCTTAAAGTGAAAATTTATTAGGCCGCTATTCAACATATCTTGTAAGTTTTGTAAAATAAATCTTAAATATTTTTTTATTTGGAAATTGTACATATGCTCGAATCAAGAACATCTAGGTTATGATAACATTAATTCTTCTAATAATTTTTTTCAGACATAAAATTGAAATCAAAATTTTATTAAAAAATCAAACATATATTATTTAAATAAAGGTGATACTCTTAAATATTGACATTTGATTAGATGACCCATATGGCAAAGATCGGGGGCAGTTACCAACCCAAATTTTCAGCCATTTGACTTATATCCCTTTAGTATTTGTGCGCATGTGTTGGACCCCTCTTTCCCATCTAGGCTTCACTGTCAAACTTTCATTACTTGTGTACGTACGTATTATTACAAAGAAAAATGCATTCTCATTATCATAAACATCTTCATGAAAATCATAATGGGTTGAACAAGAGACAAACAAACCATGAATGTGCTTTCAGATTTGTAGTTAAATAATATTGTTGCAAAAGTTTAAAGTCAAATTTGCTAACTTTGAGTTTGAGCACCCATGATTTCTCTGTCATTATTTTATTTTTTTCTCGTAATTAAAATAAGAGAAATTTTATTTAAAAATATTTTTATACCACATTTTTTATTAATAAGAGAGAAATAAATGTTATGAAAAAATAAATATCTAATTCATTAATACTAATAAAAATAATTATATGTTATAAATTTATATTTTATTTAAAATATTTATAATATTAAATAGTAAAATTGATATCTTATATGTTGAATTAATAAATATATTTCCTTATATGAATATGGATTTAATTTAAATATATACTAATAGTGTAAAAAGAAACATCTCCTTATCGTAAATTGTCATATAATCATTAATTTTGTAATAATTAATATAAAAAATACAATATATTTTAATTGGTTGATAATATAAAAAAAATACTAATATTGCACTAAAATTAAAATTTGTGAATAATAAATGAATGTCTCTTAAATATCAATATAAAAATAATTTAGTAATTAATGTATATAAAAATAAGTCTTTATTTTTTATAATAAAAAATATTAATAGTTGTTTATTATAAATAAAACTAGAAGTAGTATTATAAATCCGTTAAAAAAAGTTTATAATTAACAATTGAAAAATAACTTATATCTCTGTTCTAAACTTATGTAAATAAGTTTCTTAGTATAGTTTGTAAAACTAAGTATTTTAAGTTTATTTCAATGTAAAATTTATCTTTAAATTCATGATACAGGTATTATTTTAAAAAAATTATTAAATAAGTGCTTAAATAAATTGTGTATTTAAACATAATCTACATTATTTTATTGCATAAATATAATATTTCTAAAAACATTTATCTTGCATAATTTATTGTCTATTTGGATACATTTTAAAAAAAAATTTGCGTGCTTTAATTGAAAATTTTATTCTTTTGCAAAATTTTTGTTCTAACAAAAGAGTGTGTTTGAA